CCTTCATCAAATAGAAAACGTGTATTTTTCAATAATAACCGATAGCGTAAAAAGATTTTTACAACAATTGCATTTGAAGTCTAGAGATGATAATATAGCTCAAAATCCTATCGTTGATATTAGACTTTGTATAACTAAAATAATAACGACGATCGTGTTTGGTGAATTAGCTAATGATCCTGTTATTTTAGAACGTTCTTCGATTTATGTAAGAAAACTTATAGGATTTGCAGATTATAAAAGTCATCTACTCTTAATATTTCCGTGGCTAAGATATTTTGGTCTTCAGAAAACCCTCGAGAGAGAAGCACGACAACTAGTCGCAGAAAGGGAAGAATTCTATAATGGTCTATTACAACAAATCAAGAATCGAATGGCTGAAAAAGGGCCAGATTCAGAAACTTGTATTGCTGCCGAAATTTTAAAATCTGTTACAGTCGACCCATCGTTCGTTGCCTCTCCATATTTACACGAATTTGAAAAAGATGAAAAGAAAAAATATATCTTTGATAAGTATGATGTGCTGACTGTTTGTGAGGATTTAATGCTTGCGGGAATTTCCACAACAAACGGTGCTTTATGTTGGGTTTTTGCTACTTTAGCCAATCATCCTCAAGTACAACGTAAAATTCAACAAGAATTAGATAGAGTAGTTGGTAAAGGAAGGTTCTATACTATGGATCATGATGCAGATTTACATTATTTGAAAGCTACCATAAAAGAAAATTTACGATTTAGGTAAGAAGTTTTTCTTTTACTCATTTTTACTTAACATTAAATATTAAGTTTAATATTAGAGATTTAACAAAAATTTTAATAAACAGGACAGTTTTAAATTTAAGTATACCACATTGCAGCTCTCAGGATGAAACTTATGATGGGTACTATATTCCCGCAAATACTGGAATCGTAATCAATTTTAATGCGATCCATACTAATCCTGAACTTTATGATGAACCTCATGAGTTTCGTCCTGAGCGATATTTGGATGACAATGGACAGTTAATGAAATACAATGAAATTCTTGATCCATGGGTAATTATTGATTATAAATTCCGTTTATTATAAATGATTAATCTATAATATTCTTTGCTTTAAAGTCATTTAGTCGTGGACGCCGGGCGTGTTTTGGAATTAACTTGGCCTACCGTATGTTATTTACAGTTGTAGGCCATACATTAGCAATATTTGATCTTGAATTAGAAAAAGACTTATCTACTAACGAACCGATAAAGATTGATCTTGATGCGGGAAGAGGCCACGACTTCGATTATCTTCCACCAGAGTACAAGTTAATTTTTAAAGTTCGTGAAGGAGTTGACGTTGAAACAGCTTTAAATTTTAGCAAAGTATGATAAATAAAATCATATGTTTTCACATGTGTTTGATTTAATTTTTGAATGACCTACGCGTTTTCGTGATAGAATGTACGAAATTTAGGATTATAGGTATGCTATGTTGTGTATCGGTTAAGAGATATTGCACAATTTTCAGGTGTTCAATATATGTTTTCATCATTATTTCCGCGTGTATATATCTATTTTCCTTAATGCAATCGATTTATTGAACTATCTGAAGTTCGCGTGATACTTTTAGCTCCAACTATAAATCCTTCAAACTAAACAAATAGTTTTCGCATGAGATAATGTAGGTGGTAGCCTCGCGATTACAACATTGCTCGCAATACGTGATGCCGGTCACCAATGTCAGCCGGTTTTATCTGATTTTCACCATGTCTCATTGGGATACATCATATACTAATTAATCAAAACTATGTCAGGTACCATAGTAAAAATTACTGTAATAATGATTGATTAACGTTAATTTTATTATATCGATATATGATAGCATAAACTAACACTATAAAGTAATTTAATTTTATTTTATTATTAAATTTGAGTTAAATTCAATGTCAAAGTGTATTTGCACATGATTGCTGATTACAATTAAAATTTAACGACATAAAAATCTCTTTAAAAGATTATCTGCGGCTTGTTCTTGCTGTATATCTGATCGAGAAACTTTTGAAATAGAATCTTGTTGATATGTTAATCTCTTTTTCGAATATTTTTTAATTATTCACCAGTTACTTAAATTTCGTCTATTTTTTACCGAAAGATACATTTTAGACTGTTGAGTAGAATCGGTCATGTTTGAATGGGGTTTTTAAGTCCCACTTGTTGAGGATTAGGCGTATTCGAGTTTCAAAAAGGTTCAGAGTTAAAACCAGCATAAAAATTGATGATAAAATTTATTATGAAATAAGATAAAAACTTTTTCTTTGAGTAACGGTTTTAAATTTTTTCTAACAAAAGCCGATTTACTTTTTAGCTTAGAAATATGTATCACTAACAAAAGCAAAGCTCTTCCTAATATAAAACATCTAACTAATTAAATATTTTACACCGTAATTCCCTTTTGTTACAGTACATTAATTGCTTTCTTCAAAATTTGCTAGAAAAAAAAGGTTAATAAATAAATGAACTATTTTCGTTTTATCTTGGACTATTAATCATTAATCAATTTATACATAAAATCTGTACTATTAATTTTTAATATGGTACCTAACATGACGCACCCCAATGTCTCATGCCATCTGTAACAAAAATGTGACTCGAGCAATTATATTCCTGAATATTTGTATGCGCATCAAACCATCACCCCGTTTAGATGCAAAATTCTTTAAAGAGTTGAATCCGAAAATACATTTCCATCCTAGTTATAGAATGGTAAAGAACAGGGAACTAAAGCAAAAGCAGGGTAGGCACATCGGGACAAACGAATGACAGTCATCCCGTAGATGCAGTATATTATATTAAAGGAAATCTGATCAATATCATTATTGCCAGTGGCAGTGGGGTCTGTCAGAAATGTAATATCCCATCAGTATTTAAAGAAAATAGGGTGACGAATTGATGTACCCTTGAAATGTATCATCACCAGAATTAACGCGGCAGTAGAACAACAATTAAGGAAGTTCATGCACTAGAAATCGAACTAATAATAACAAATATGAGTTAATGTAGTAGTAATAGAGCAAGGAAATATGATTTAATCTTGGGCATACTTGACTTTTTTTCAGGCAGTTCGGCCAGCTTAGCTTCGAGCAGAATGACAAATATTGAAGTTTCTGTTACCCGCACCAAAGTCTGAAGTAATGATCTGTTGAAATTAAATAAAATCATAATTATCACCGATCACTTGAAATTTTCTTCATGAATCCCAGGAAAAATTTGGTTTGAATTTTAAAAAATTTATTTGGATAACACGAAAAATTTGGATAATACGATCTTATTTGAATATTAATTTTTTTCTTTGATGCAATTAAAATACATAACATTAAATGTTTTTAAAGATTCTTGACTTAAATTTTGGCGATTGTCTACTAAAATATTGTTATAAGCTGAAAAATTTCTTTCAACAGAACAAGAAGAAATAGGTAACCAAATACAATCTAAAGCTATATTACTTAAAAGAGGAAAATTAAATGTAATATTATTCCGAAAAATATGAAGTTGATAAATCTAAATTACAATAAAAAGACCATTCTTGAAGAAGAGCAATCGAAGGATTAGTTAATTCAGGAATATCAAAAACATATTTTTGAATGTCACATTTATTAATGCTTAATTGAAGAAAACGAGGATCAAAAAGAGGTCGGGAAGAATGAGAATTAAATGATCAAGGAATTTTTTTGTGCAGAATTAAAAGCAGAATGAAAAACAGAATTAAAACAGAAGAATCAGGATAATATTAAATTATTGAAGTAATACGATGTCCAAAATCACGAATAGACTACTAATTGAAAGAAAAATATCTAATTGTTCAATACGTTTTTCTACAAAGGGAAAAAGATCACATTCACACTGAAAAAATTTAAATTCAAAATAAAATTATGTCGAATAAATGCCAAGTAAATTTCAATATAAGCATTATTATTATAATTATTAAAAATAATATTAATAATATCAACTACTTTCACTTCTTTGTAAAAATCCTCATATATAATTCAAATAATCATAAATATAAAAAGCCATCTTAAACCAAGAATTCCATCTAGTTGTATTTGATAAAATTATAAATCGCAAAGTTAATGTTGCATTAGTAGATTCTTCAGCCAAAAATTCTTGAATTCCATGTCGAGTTAAGTAATTCATATAACGATCACGTCGATTTTTTGAATAAATGAATATTTTTTTATTATTTTACTAATAAATTTTACGATATCAAACTGTATAACCGAAATTCATGCTTCACTAAATAAATAGATAAACAAAAGTTAATTGATTTATTATTACTTTTTTATTTTTTAATTAAATATTTACTTATTAAATTTAATATATGTGCAAGACGAGTATTATGTTAAGTTGTGATATTATTGGATGTAAAATCTCTATAATATTTCTTCATCTACGTGGCTGAGTCAGATAAAAAGAGTCACGGAGCTGAGAAAGAAATAGACCAAAATTCAAATTACTAATTGTCCAATAATGATATATTAACAGTTTGTAAATAATCAACAGATATAAGCTTTGTTGAATTGCGATAGTTGAACAAAATATTATCAACACTACAAACTTGAGAATCAGTAATTTCATCAATAATAATGGCTACAGGCTTTTCTTTAAATTTAGTCTGTAATGCTTGAAGATGTTTGTCAAATATATTAGGTAAATAACTACAGCGCGAAGTATCAGTAGCGGGAATAGCACCATCTTCACAACAATAAGTTTTTAAAATGGATAAAATTTATTTACTTTCTCCAAAAGGAATATTGGCATTAACCCCGTGCCTTAAATACAATGCGAGCAAAAAGATAGTTATCGAATTGTTCAAAAAGATTTACAAAACTTGGTTCGTAACACTACACTGAATATATTTACTTCCGAAAAGTTGTTTAGCCACAAAAAGCGCAACAACCTTAGAGATAATTTCTTTTTAGTTTTTTATAATGTATCATTGTAAAAAGTACATGTGGTATTCAAAAATATATGCGGACCTTATAAACCATCCGAAGGCGCAACTTTTAAGACCTGAAATACTTCGTATTCATCAATGTGAAATGGTCCATCCACATTACGTATCCGAAGTTCATAACTTTCCCGCTTACAATAAGCGCTCTTTGGATTCAGTATACCACCAATTCTCAAATCGCTCATACCAAAACTCAAAAATCCAAAAGAAATATCCGTAACAGCTCGTTCCCAACAATTCAACAGAACTCGACTTAGAACATGCTTTATGGGAGCATGCGTTTTTTTCATTGTTGATCCTCGATTTTTAATACCATCAATGTTAGAATACTCGTCATCCAAATTGCCGCTGAATTCACGATCAACTCGAAAAGAAAAGATAAATGAATCTTTCGTGGCAATATATTTGTTAGGTTGTTTGCTTGTCATTGTGGGTGTATAGCCGCCAACCACTTCCCCAGTACCCGAAACTTTTGCTACAATTATCATGGGAACATCTAAGAGTTCTTGTCGAAGAATTTTCAGGGAAAAATTCTCTCGACTTGCTCGAAAAACTAGTTTGAATCGATATGGACTACATACTTTTCCAGTTGTCGTGTAGTCACGATGGTCAATCCAACTAGCGATAAGACTGCTATGATGGCTCGTGATAATTTCAGAGCATAGTCTTGCACGTGGTGGTAATAAATTACTGGACAACTTGAATACATTAGTAGAGTAGTATTCAGAAAGTTCCTCTCGAAGTTTGCCTGGTAATAAGGTCTCTTTGTTTAAAAGGTGACGTTTAGGAATATCAGAAAACCGAATATGTGGTAAAAACGGCGCAAGAGTGTTTGCCAATTCTAAGTAGTCTTCTTTTTGAAAATCAGAGAATCCTTTATTCTTTAACGTTGGTGTATTCATTAATCCCCATTCAATTACATGCTGCCAGATATCTTGTTCATCAAGGCAAATTTCTTCCTGTTGCAATATCGAAACGAGTACAGATTCTTGGACTGAGAAAAATTCATCAGAGGCAAAAAATTTTTCGGGCGCATATGTCACAATGTTTATACAGTATTCTTGTAGCTCTTTTGCAGTGTCAAGTTTAAATGCCAAATCTAGCACTTTGTAGAGATTTTGTCGTAACCAGGCCGGTTTTTGTGTAATAAGAAAATTTTGAGCATAGGAAAAAAGTTCTTCAAGCACTAATTCGTCTGCCGTCGTTAAAAGTCCAAGCATATTTGTGTTTTCGGTGATTGTTATACTGCCACTATATATATAACTAACATAATTATTGAAATTTAATTAAGTAGATTTAAAACGAAAAAGAATTTAATAAAATATGTTAATACCTTAGAATCAACTCAAAAATATCTGGCAATGTATTTGGCAATGTTAAAATAAATTTATCATGTTCTTTTTTCGCCCAATCACTCGACAGCGCTGCACGAAAATACGAGCATCGTGCACGCAGGATAGCCGAATGTGCCTCAAACATCTTCGCACCCATATTTTCAATCGCAGTCCCAACTTTAATTATCACATTATAATCATCCGTATTTTTAAGAAAATTAGAAAAATCAGAAGAAAGGTTATTAAAGAAGGTTGAAGTAATATTCATTGGTTTTTATCGGTTTTTGTGTAGTTGGTCTCATATGTATTAGTATTGTATGTACATGTACATGTTCATGTATTGTCCAAAATAAATGTTGCACGACAGATTAACATGTTGTAAATGTAAAACAATACAAATACATGATCATGTACATGTAAAATCTTGGATTGAAACATTTCACTTTCATATCAAAATGGGCATGTAATAATATTGGATTACATCTGAATCATGATAAATGTTTCTATTGAGAGGTTTTACTGTTTGAAATTTAGTTTCTATTAAAAAAATTAACGAAAATCTACATTGATATTGATACAGTATTAGAATAAACTGTGAGTTCAAAATTTATTTCAAAAATATTTATCATCAATATGTATAATTTGCTTATGACTTAATTAAAAGTTTCTCACATCGAGTTAGTTAAAATAACTTTCAAATAAATTTAAAAGAATTATATATAATAATAAAAACTTTTATTTTAAATAAAAATAAAAAATTTTATTAAAAATTATACAGATTGTTTAATTATCATTAATAAAAAAATCAAATAATTTATCCATCGAGTTGGGGAGTCCAGTATTCTGCAATTGTAGAAGATGTATGGTTTATGATGTGATTTGTGGTAGGGTTTCTCTAACTGGATTTCTAAAGAAATTATGCCAATAACTACGGTTACTGCTGATGTTAATGTGATTATTTAAATTTAATATAATATGGGGAAGATTTGAAAGGGCAAGAGGATCATGTTACAAATTAAGGAGATTTTAACAATTGCGATAGAGTTCTTTAAGTCGACGAAAATTTCCCAAAGTCACGAGGCGGAATTTCGATTGAGATTTCTTAGCACGATAAAAGCGACAAAACCCGAAATCGATAATACAAGCAAAGAGGAAATGTTTTTCAATTACTTATAATTTGACTAAGATTCAAGATATTAAATGTTTTGATCTATGTTTTGGAGCAATGGGCTAAAAACTATATCGAAAACCATGTATGAGATTATCAAACAATCATCATGTTGTTGTTTGAAAATTGGTATCCATTAAGAGATCCACAAAAAAAATAATATCATGAGGGACAGGAAATAGTCCTTCTCGAAGCATTTCTTTTTTCAAGTTTCCATCATAAATACTGTATCTTGAAATCTTCTACATAATTAGATCGATACAAAAGTTGAAGAACATGTGCTGGATCAGCAAACTGCAAATTCTAGGAAAATATGCAGCATGTTTTTGAGTCTTAGCGTTATAATATAATGCATTTCATATAGTACAGTGATTATTTTCAGTAGATGCAAGGCAAGAATTAATACACATATCAATGGACTTAATATTAATGTTTACCAATTGTTGTAATTTCTTTTTTGCAAGATAAAGACTTTGTAATGTACAATATTCAAAATGGCATCAAAATCATTAACCATTGTTCGAAAATCACGGGACTTCTCATTTTCGCGATCACGGACTATTTGAACACGGGATTTTTCATTGCGACTATTGATGATAACAAAGTTCAAATTTAAATTCAGAAAATCAACTATACAAGTTTTTTCATTAACAACGAACAACAAACGCTCTATCGGCAGAATCAAATTAAACGATTAATTAACTTTTTTATAAAATAAAGACAATATTGTTCTTAACATTTTTATTAACTAATGAAAGTTGGTTTAAAATATTTAGTTTACGTACATAAGTAGCAAGTCTGCACAATTTTAACTTTTTATTAAAGAGAAGTCAAACAAACATTAATTCTGGAAACACGAAAATTGCTATTTGTCATCATATGAGTTGATAACAAAAATTACATTGTAAAATATATTTAAATATTCAATTTCTGCAAATCTTCACATCCTGAGGTTTCTCTTCATTGTACTCATAATTTTTGTCTTTCTAGTCTAGCGCACTCTATTTAGCACCTTATTATTATTTAGAAAATTTTTTATTTAACAATTAGTATCGGCACTGCTGACTTGAAAATACATGTAGAAAAGAGAAAAAAAGCCTTGATCGACAAATAGAAATCGAAAACCTTAATAAAAAAAATCTATCTTGGGAACAATCAATTCAACAACATCCGTACCCTGGGGAGCGAAAAATTCGACGACGTCTGTACCCTGGAGAACGAAAAATTCGACGGCGTCTGTACCCTGGGAAACGAAACATTCGACGACGTCTGTATCCTGGAAAGCGAATAACTTGAGATGGTTCTACGAATAATGTTTCAACTTCTTTATATGGGTTGATTTTAATTTCTTTGATTTCTGCTTTGTCATTTTTTAGGACAAGTTCATGAGACGAAATGATTCCTTTTTTCAATTGTTTATTAGGGTAATCCTTGAATGCGGCTGAACTTTCACTCGTTACCAATATTATAAAAAAATGTAAAAAAAATAAAAAGAGTTTTGAAACCATTTTTTTATTGTCTTTGCTGTGGATATTGTAGAAATTATTTTATTCTTAGAATATTAAATTCTATTACTTTTATAAGTTTCATGACGGGCGCTTAATTTCAAAAATGTTACGCACTGTTACATGTACAGTACATGTATATCAAATTAGATTTCTAATTTGATCATTTCCAAGGGCTTATAAAAGTGATTAAACAGCATAAAATCATGGTATATCAGTCTACAACAGGAGGTTAAAAGTCTGATCCGGTCCGACTCAATTCCAGAATAGAGTTTTTAATAATAAGTCGGTCCAAAGTCTGAATTTTGTGTATGCATGCACATGAATAAAATCTTTTGAAAACATTTATTCGAACATGTGAACATTGGGGCACTGTCCCAAAAGTCAGGAATAAGAATCAATCCGGACCCATGCTGAGTCAACTCAAAAGAACAATTCAAGTGTGCTTTTTAACATCTCTACAGGACAAGTTTCATTATTACAATTAGCCAAAATTATAATTTTTTATATTCCATATATTATAACTTGAAAAATAAATGACAATCTGAACTAACTTAATTCTCTCAAGCCATACTGGGTATGTACAATTAAAAGATAGATATACATGTAATTGTTAAAGTTTTCAAAATTTGACTTTCATACTAAAAAGCATGATTAAATGTGGAAAAATGAACTCTGCTGGAGATATTTTTTAGAGAATTTATAACATAAACTTGAATAATCCAGCGAACATAACACTGACAAATACATATAATGCGAATATTCGTAACCACGTGGATGCTTAAGCAAAGTACCGTAAATCATCAATTTTAAGCACCACCTGCGTTTTTAGTGGTTAATATATTTTTTTATAAGTAAAAGCTATAATAAACTAATCTTTATGATTATTTGAAACCCCCCCCAATTAGTATCATTTGGCTAAAAATGATCATTTTCACGGTGCTAAATATGTATTGACCATAATTTTCAATCAATTATACATGTACGTTGACATTGCCAAAGCTGCAAACCTGTTTCAATATCAACTCCTTCACGTACTTTAAAAATTATTTTGTATTCTAGCGGAACATAATCTATATCATGACCTTTTCCCACATTGAGATTAATCTTTGTTAACTCATTAGTAACCGAGTTTTTTTCCAATTCAAAATCAAATACTGCTAATGTGTGACCTATAAAATGTAAATATATTACAGTTGATTCCTACGCATGCCCGGCGTCCATGACTAAAGGTCAATTAAGAAAAGTTTATTATAGGTTTATTATTTATAAATGTACATAATAATCATAATTTATATTCAATAATTACCCATGGATCAAGAATCTCTTCGTAATTCTTTAAAGGTCCATCGTCATCCAAATATCACTCAGGACGAAACTCATCTGGTTCATCATAAAGTTGAATATTAGGGTGGATCGCATTGAAATTGATTACAATTCCAGGATTTGCGGGAATATAGTAATCATTATAAGTTTTATCCTGAGGACAGCAATATGGTATACTTATAACTGTCTTGTTTATTAAAATTTATGTTAAATTTACAGTTTTTCTTAAAAGTAAAAATAAAACTTCTTACCTAAATCGTAAACCTTCCTTTACTGTAGCTCTTAATAATGCAAGTCTGCAAAATGATCCATAGTGTAAAACTTTCCTTTGCCAACTACTCGATTCAATTCCAGTTGAATTTTACATTGTACTTTAGGATGATTGGCTAAAGTAGCAAAAAGCCAAACTTGATGTGGAGCTTCCATCATACATTAAATCGTTACAAATAGTCAGCACATCATAATTATCAAAAAATATATTTTCCATCTTCGTCTTTTTCAAATTCGTGTGTATATTGGAGAGGCGACGAATGATGGATCGACTGTAAAATTTCGACAGCAACACAAGTTCTGAATCTGATCCGCATTTGATCATTCAATCTTTGATTTGTTGTAATAGACCATTAGAGAATTCATCCATTAAGAAAAATTGACACTATGTGTGACAAATACATCTTTTGCTATCATATGATCATTAATAACAATCCAAGAAAGTCTGATACATTGGTAACTCAATTTGATGCAAATTTCCAATAATTGGTAAATGAGTTGGATCTGAAATCTCAATAAAACTTAAACTGGATATTTTATTTTTGATTATATTCAATAAATATTTATTAATCATATAAAATTTTAAACATATGGGTTGGTGCAAAAAGATTTGTACCTCAGATAAATATTAATGAATTATTTTTCAAAATAAAATTTTAATTCTGTCTTATTTAATTAAGTTATTAGGTATTAGGATTTATTTAAATGTAAAAATT